AAAAAATAAAAATTATTAAAATTAAATATTTTTTACCATAGATTATTAAAATATAAAAACTAAAATTAAAATTAATTATGAACATAAATAAAAATGTTTTATTGAAACATTTAATTATAAAAAAAAATTGTTGAAAATCATAAAAATATTGCTAAAAAAATAATACAAAATTTTAAAATGTATTATTCAAAATCAAAGTAGTACTATAATAATATTTAAATATAAAAAAAAAAATAGAAGAAGATTCAGTTTAGCATGTAGAAGTTCATATTACTTTTATATTAATAATGTTTGATTAGGAAAAAAAAAAGCACGAGTATATATTATTTTTTAGTTGTTAATTTTAATTATTAATTTTAAAATATTTTATAGACCATGTTTATGAAAAAAATTATGTTGTTTTTATATTGATTAACAAATTATTAGATGATTAATCATATTAGATAATTAATTATATTTTATAATTAGTTTTATTAGAGGATTCAACTTAATATCTTATTCTTTTAAGAGATTAGTGGTAGGTTCTAGTAGGATCCTCATGACCAGTATACATTTAAAAAAAATATTATTTGATTTAAATTAATGAAGAAAATTCTGACCAGTATACATTTAGCTCAAATCAATTAATAAAATTAAGATATTAAATATTTATTAATATTATCTATTATTTAAAATAAGATTTTATTAGGTAAGAAAATGTGTGACATTATCACGTTCATTATTTTTATTTCTAAAGACCATTAAATCTTATTATTATTATTATTATTATTATTGTATTAATTAAAGTGATTACAACAATTATATATGATTAAATCGATCAATTAAATTAGGTTAAATTAATCTATATATTTATATTGTTTTTTCAAATTATTAATTAGGTAAAAATATTCTAAAACAATTTTAGTTTAGAAATCTTGTAATTAACTAACATTGTCACAATAAGTTAGTTTATACTAATCAGATATTGTGACATGTTAATTATCTTTTAACAGGGTAATTAATTATATTTTTATTATTTTCATTTATTTATAATTATTTTAATTGAGTTATTAGTTTTAATATGGTAATTTCACCAAAACTCAATATTCATTCCACTTATAAGATTTAAACTATATATCAAATTTTAAACTCTCTAATATTTTTCTAATTCCTATATATTCACAAAAACTATAAAAAGAAAAAAATGAAAGATGTAAATTTTTATCTACATAATTTAAATTGGATAAATTTCACTTTTAGTATCTCTATAATATCAAATTTTGTAATTTTGATCTCACTATTTTTAAACCTGCAATTTTAGTTTCTTAATTTTATAAAATTTGGAATTTTAGTCTCTTAATTAAATATTCATCCATTAATTGATAAAATTGTAATGTTCATTGTGAACTAACATTATATAGATGACACAACAATTAAAATTTAATAATATTTTAGTTAAATTGCATAATAATTAATAATAATTAAGCACATGCCTTGCCTAGTTGTACGAACATGACTCGGATGCTTTAAAGGACCAATGACAACCTTCAAAATGTCTTTAGCCTCTTTAGAATAAATGTTTCCTACATGGCTTGCTCTTCCAATTCTTCCTATAACACAATAGTATAATTAAACATGTAAGGTATAAAACATTAATCAACCAACAATATGAGTAAGTAAGTGTTTGATACTTATAATCCTTTGTACTACAACCCGTGTTTCCTCTAATGTGAAATCCCTTAATTTCTTTTGTCGAATCCTTTTCCATTTGCCATGACTAGTGAACAAGGATACAAGACTAACTCCTGATTCATCAACCTAGAAGAAAGTGCCTCTTTAATCATATTCACCTCAAGCTTCTCATCTCTCATGAGACAATGTATGGGGTAAGCATTCTTTTTCTGTAGATCTTATGCATGCATTCTATTTTCATGTTATATACATAAGACAAACACACAACTTATTTGCAATAAGGATATGTATCTAACACAAATGGTTCAGATTGTAATAATATTAACTAATTAGGGAGTCTTCCCGAGTTGAGATTGGCAAAATTGTTGTCAAGTATTTCATTAAGGTACTTATACTTTAGTCAAGGTTTTTGATATACTTTCTCACCAAAACATATAGAACTTGTTGAGATCACTCTTAAAATCCCTCTAGTGCCTAACATAAGAAATCCACTTATTCCTTAACCTCTTGATGTTGGGAATTTCATATGTGAGCTGCATTAGATATGCAAACATAGATTCTTACATCAATGAGGAAGAACATTCTCCTCAATGACAAAATAAAACAAAACAAAGTATCACTCTTGACATGTATCGGTGTGACTTGTGTTGTATTTTTGTCTTCCATATCCTCAATGCTCTATTGAATGTATGTGTATGGTTAATTTTACTTATCAAACTAATTAATCTTATGTGAATCTTGGATTGCCTGTAGGTTCCTATAGGAACCCTAAGGGAATGTATTTTTTGTGATTGTTTGAGAAGGTAATATGAGTATGTAATTATGTGTAGCTCATAACTTTGAGAAGTGTATTTTGACCTTTTGAAGTGTTTCATCATTTGAGTTTGTAAATTGATATCTTGTACACATGTTGTGGAATTCATGTTTATGAAAATTGTTGGTTTCTGATATGACGCTAAACACCACCTTAGAATCACTAGGCATCGTTGTGACAGATAACAAAGTTTGTTCTCTATGTCACTCACGTCGGGCATGGGTTGTTCCTCGTTGAGTGTGGGAGCTCTAATGAGCTCCCTATGATAATCTCGTCATGCATGAGGTGAATTCGGCCAGCTACAAGTCATTTAGAGAGCTACATGTGCTCTTTGGGTGCGCTACGCTAGGCATGAGATGGTTGTTGTTGGATCTCATTTCATAATTGATACTTGTTCATTTTGTAACCTGATGATGTTTGACTTGAATGGTTCTTGTGCTAATGGATGATTATAACTTGATATAATGATTAGAGTATGAAATTGTGATCTTGAAATGGATAAGTATGATAAATGGACTCATGTTGGCAAATCGTTGTAAGTATGCATAAAGATAACATGACATTACTTATTGAGTTACCTATGAAATTCGAGGATGAAATTCCAAAAAAGGAGGGGAAAAGAAGAATTGTGACATCCTAAGATTTTCATTTATTAATTCAATATTTTTTTTAATAAATGATTAGGCTGATTTTTATAAATTTATTTTATCTACATAAAATATGTGATTTTTATTGAATGTGTTTTATTTAATAATTGAGGGAAGGAAAAAAGAAGCATGGTTAAATTATTTACTAAAGGGTTAATTGTGAGTTAAGGTTTAAGAGGGGGGTTACGACAATATTTTACTTTACACTTCCCTATGTTGATGTTCTGAAGAACCGGAGGAAAATCATATATAGTTGAAGATCACCAAGGTAAGAGAAAAGTGAGTAATCTTATTATGGATGTGAGATAACGGTTGAATACTAAGATTGACGTTCAATATCCTTTTTGTTATATACATTTTATGAAGGACAAAATTCTTATTTATGACCTTTGTTTTATAATATATATATATATATATATATATATATATTAATGTGTCTGTTTAAACTATTTTTAAGAAGAAAAAAAAGGAACAATTTTCTGTTTTCTTTTAAATAATTCATAGTTGCTTTATTTTATTTTATTTTTTTAAATAATGGCTAATAGGATATACTTTTCTTATCGAAATATATTATATTTCATTAAATAGAAATAAATTTGAGAGAGATAATGAATTTGACATTTTTTTTTAATATATTTATTAACTGAGTAATGCTAAGTAGCTTTTTTTTTTTTATTAAAAAAAAAGTGTTAAGTTGTTAATAAAGTTTCTCAAACACTTTTTTTTATAAATATTTTATTTTTTATTAGTTGAAATTTATTAAAAATTTTAAATTTCAGTAATTTTCATATTTTGTTTAATGAGTATTTTCCAAATTTAGTGGTGGATCTCACCAAATTTCGTGATTTTTATAAATTATGATAAATAATAATAAAAATTGGAAAAAAGTATTATATTATTTGATATAGAGTGACAAATCATTAATAATTATGATTGAAATAATATGTATATATAATTCTAACTTCTGTAATTTTGATAAATTAAATAAAATAGAATGGTAAATTTTAAAATTAAGTAAATTTAAGAAATATGATTGAAAGAAATAAAAAGATATAGAAACTATAATTTTTTTATTATATAATTATCAATAATATTAGAAAAAATTATTTACATATCGACGATAAAACTAAAAACCAGAAAAGAAATAACAAAGTATTAGTTTCAATATAATATATATATTTTTCAAACTGTATAAATTGGTGAAATAATTTTGTTTGTCTAATTTTTTTTAGTCAAATAAACTAATTTATTAGTTAATTAAATAAGTTGTTATCACGATGAATTAATGTTTAAATATCCATTGAGAGAGGTTTTGTACCACAGACAACATTACCTCTAAATGAAGATACTTGTGAAGAAAAAAAACACTATAAGCTAACTAAAATAATTGACTAATCACAGATACGAACAGGAAATCCAAAATAAATGTCAAGGTTTGACTATTTGTTGGGACGTGGAAGTTGTGCTTATTATTTAGCGTATGATAGGGTATCAAATAGAATTATTTTTAAAGAAAAATACATGTGAAAATTACAAATGTATTAATTTTGTTTATACAGTTATGAATACATGATAAAAATAAAAAATAAAAAATAAAAAATAAAAAATATTTGAATTTAAAAATATTTAATAAAATACGTATATATTTTCCAGAAATTGTTGATATTTGAGATTTGGTTTTAACTTGCATGAAATGCTACTAGGCCGTTTGTAGAAACTAGAAACGAAGGTCTACACGTGTTAAGAGGCTATTCGATGAAACACGTGCACATTTCAACACAACTACCCCATGGCATTTGCGTAATTGGAGGGGGAGAGCGAGGTCAATTTCAATAAGTCAACTCTTTGAAAAATAAAAAAATTCCATATTCGAATTTCTTCTTCTCCTTCTTCTACGATTTTCCTTTCACTTTCTCTCCCTGTCCATCACTTTCTCCTTCTACAATTCGCATTTTCCCACCGAAAGAGACACACACAGAAAACCACAATGGAGGAAAAGCACACAGCCGCCGATTCCGCACACATCGAATCCAACGGTGTCTCTCACGGCGCCGACCATGGCTGGCAGAAGGTTACCTACGCAAAGAAGCAGAAGAAGAAGCCCAACAACGCCGCCAACGGCTCCGATTCCCGCGCTAATTCCAAACAGCTCCTTCCCAACGGCACCTTGGCCGCCTCCGACGGCGTTTTCCGCTCACTCGAGCTGCAATCGGAGGACCGTCGCCGCAAAATTCTCGAGGCGCGCAAGGCGGCCGATGCCGCATTCGACGAAGACGACGACGCGCCGCTCAGATCGAAGCAGCGCCCTCGCGACTACGACGAGGACGAGGACGACGATAATGTCGACCGTTCCGCGGAGAACGGGAAAGCGGAGGAGGCTAAGAAGGTGAAGCAGAAGAAGCCGAAGAAGCCTAAGGTGACGCTTGCGGAGGCGGCGGCGAAGATCGACGCGGCTGATCTGGGCGCTTTTCTGGTGGATATATCGGTAGGCATTGTCAATTGAATCGTGCATGTTTAGGTTTTATGTTTGGTTTGATCTGTTGGATTAGCATAACGATGCGTTGCGTTTTGCTTGATCTGATTTGAATTCGTTTTCTCAATAGGCATCGTTCGAGAAACAGCAGGACATACAGCTGATGCGGTTCGCTGATTATTTTGGACGTGCTTTTGCTGCGGTGACCGCATCTCAGTTTCCATGGGTGAAATTGTTCCGGGAGTCAACTGTGGCTAAGATCACTGATGTGAGTTTTGAATTCCTTGTTTTCTTATTCTTGTAACTTTTTAGGGCTTGGCCAAATTAAGATGTGATGACAAATCGATGGATGGAAAATTAGATGTTGAGATGTGAATGGTGCTGCTGACAATGCATCTGTTATATTGTGATTTGTGCCTTTGTTTTGTTCTGCTGTCGTAATTCATTGCTTAAAGTGGTTAAGTTCCTTATTTTCTGCTACAAGATTTAAGATCAAGTTGTTCTAGATATTCCTTTTGCCATTGGAGAAATCCCATATGGTGAGAGAACATCGATATGGTAGAAACAATGACACATAGAATGGGCCCTCTCATAGGGAAACAGAGATTTGCTCTGATTGAACTGGAGAGGGAAAAGAGATGTGGATATAATTAAAGAAGTGGAATGAGATTCTGTTAGTGCCGAGGATAAAGTCTGAACTAAATGCAATTGAGTCAACTTGAGTAAAACCGTTCATTCATCAGTTTCTTTGCTCTTATAAACTTCAAATATGCTACTGCTACCAACTTTAGAATTATTTGCTAGTTGGAGATTTGATGGAGATCTTTGATGTTTTTTCTGTAAAATGACAACTGTGTGTTTAGTTTATTATGGAGTGTAACATGCTTTTGAAATTTGTTTGTGCGAATCATGATAGACCCAGAATTTTCAGGATTGGTATCAACATATTGGGGTGTTTCTGTAAATTTGTAAAAAGGTAGCAGATTATTAGCTGTCATCAGTGTTCATTTCTACATGAACAATGAACTATTGTTGATAGAGAGATACATATGAAAGTCGGTGCAGAACTATACTGCTGAACAAGAAATGACTGAAGCAATAACATCTATTGTTAAAAGGAGGTTGCTTTCTTTTCAAAATAAATATATAGTAAAATCCTGTGAGGAAGTGATATGGTGAAACAAACTGGAGTCAGCTGTCAGCCTGTCAGCATGTGCTAAAATAATACAGTTGGAGTTTTTTAATTTAGTGGTCACGTGACATAATGGTTATTGTATGTGGAGTTCTATCTACAATTTTCAAAAGCACAAGTCCTTATTCCTCCCAAAAAGAATGTAGCTCTAATTGGTTTTGCGGGATGAACTGTTGTGTTGCCTTTCAAGGTACAAATGCTTTAGAGTGTTATGCTCCTCGTGCACATTTTAGTTATATTGCTTTGTTCTTTCTTTACTATTGTTACTTATGATTTTTTTTTTCTTCTTTTGGGTGCATACTTTTCTTTTATAACTTATGACCATTTTTGTTCTGCTATCATTTTATCTCTCCATATGTAATGTATGAATCATTGATCTTTGTGAAATTCAGTCACATTATTCTGTAATTAATAGCTTATGAAAGCAATTGTTTCAACAGGTTCACAACAGCAAATCATTTACTTATTTGCATATAAATTATTCAAGTCTCTTGGCAGTATTGGTATTTACTTGTCATTATGCAAAGCCAAATGTTAGTGTCTTTGGTGTTGTGAAATAGATGCATATTGATGCTTGCTCTCCTACTAAGTCTATTGTGATATTGGTTTATGTGGCACCATTTGCTGTATTTACTATTTTAAAATTGCTAATTTAATATTGTTATTCAGGATGACTTTTCCCAAATCTGTTGTCTTTTTCTACCATATTACCATATCTTGGTATTGATGATTTATGACCTTGAGAATCCTACTTATGACTCTCCGTTTTAGCTTTTAATTAGAAGTTTTCATACTTGCCCTTATTTCAGTACTGAATGTTTTTATATGTTTCTGCCTTTACTGATTGGCTAATCATGTTGTGACTGTTCTTGTTGTTTTATGGGTAAATTGATGTTTGAATAATATTTGATAGTTATTATGCAGCATTTATTTTCTATCTTTTGGTGGTTATCAGAATCTTGGTTCTAGTTTTTATTTTCTCCTGTGAAGTTTATTAATTAATTTCCTTTTTGTCAGACACCACTTTCTCACATATCTGACGCTGTATATAAAACATCAGCCGACTGGATTAACCAACGTTCTCCCGAGGCACTTAGTTCCTTTTTGCTTTGGTCGTTAGATAGCATTATTGCTGACTTGGGTAGCCAGCAAAGTGGGGCCAAGGGTTCCAAAAAGTCTGTGCAACAAGTGGCTTCTAAATCTCAGGTACTTGTACTGAATACTCTTCTTTGTCAGGAACTAGTGATTTTTTCCCCTTTTGATTTTTGGATAACAGAAGTAACTTGTGTTAGAAGATACAAATGGATAGAGAAAAGGAGGAAAATGGATCTCTCTTAAAAACTAGTAGAAAGGCCACTCACCAAATCAAAACAAAGCTAAGATAAAACATAAATATCATACAGAATAGCTCTCTGTTCACTCTGCAAATCTATCAAGGGGACTCTCTGGAAGAACCCATGTGCTGAACTGCTAAGAGAGGTCAATTAAACAATCTCGTCCCAAAGCACGATTAATTTGTGAAGGCCACCTTCCTTTATAAATCTAAGTATTCTCCTTTAACCAAATGCAATAGTGAATTAGGGATGGTTGATTAGTGCTTGACTTTGAAATTCTTTGACATATGCCTTGGTGCAATTTGATGTATTTGTTTATTTGTTTGTGATAACTTGTTAGTTTTGATATAACAATCACTGCTTTCAAGTGCTCAAATGACCTGGGTTGGCATTAAATATTAACAGCATGGGTGGAGGCACGGTGTTGCTAAAATTTATTCTTAGTTCTATCTTTTATTTTTCCATTTTCTAAGTGACCTTTGCTCTTTACCCTTAATATGAATGAATAGTCAAAGTCAAGACAGATAACACAAATAGGTGCTCAAGATAATCAGTCAATTCGCATGTGCCTTCCATGCATGACTGACAAACATCAGAATTTACATAAACTCTTATATATTAAATACAAAACTCTATCTTGTGCAAGGGTATTTTTAGGGAGTTTTCTTCAATGAGAGGGTTTGTAGAATTTTTTTTAACTTGTTATCTAATTCAGTCTTTATTTATAATGATTATTTATGAATTAAACATTAATATATTAAAATAAATTATCAATAGAAAAATTATTATTTTTTGTATCAATACAAATTAATTATTATAAATATAAAATATACGTTATAATATGTTTAAAAATATTTATGTATATTAAATCAAAAAAATATTTATGTATATTAAATCAAAAAAATATTTATATATACGAATTTTAAATATAATTTATATATTCAAACATAATATTTATTTATATATAATTTATGAAAAATTTTAATTATATATAATAAATATGTCTGAGCATTGTACAAGCTAACATACTAGTATATAGTATGTATACATCAATTTTCTTTGGGAATGTGCATTCAGTGATTTAGGAAGTCAAATATCCATGTTCTTAGATTGCAGTTGTCATTTTTGCTTGTTCTGTGTTAGCAAAAGGAGTTAGATTGCATTCATTATTCAATATTTTTTTTCCTCTAGAAAAAATGCACTTGAAATTTTAAAGAAGTGAAAATAAAACAAATGCTTCGCTTTGAATATCCATTAGGTTATGTTTGATTTTAGACAGTTTTTTTGGTTCATTGTAGCTTGTGTATCTTCTGATTTCATTATCTTGGTGTTGTGAATATTTAATTGTAAAAGTTGATTATAACTTTCGATTCTAAATCACATTCAACCCTTAGATGATTATTTGTAGGTTTCCAAATGCATATATACTTGTCTGCTTTGCTCTTCTTTTCAGCTGTAGACTGACATTCGGTTCACATGACCTGCAGGTTGCAATGTTCATTGTTTTAGCAATGGTATTGCGTCGGAAGCCTGATGCTCTTATATCTGTATTGCCCACATTGAGGGAGAATACAAAGTATCAAGGGCAAGATAAGCTTCCAGTGATTGTATGGATGATAACTCAGGTGAGGGGTAGATTCCAAAACAACTAAGGTCTTATGAGAAATCCTAAAAGAATAAGTTGTTTGACTCTTTTAAAAGGAGAACAGTATTTCATTTTTTCCCTTCATTTTGTTAATGCTTAATTTTTCTGTGTAGGCTTCTGTAGGAGATCTCTCAGTAGGTTTGTACGCTTGGGCTCGGAATCTTCTACCTATAGTGATTGGCAAAAGTGGTAATCCCCAATCCAGGGATTTGGTTTTGCAGCTAGTGGAAAAGTACGTAAATATAGATTTTTTTTTAATATCCCTATCTCATCATTGCTAGTGTCATCACCATTGTGTTTTTTGTGATTTGGTGGCAGAATTTTGTCTACCCCAAAAGCCCGGCCTGTTTTAGTAAATAGTGCTGTGAGAAAAGGGGAACGATTAATTCCTCCTTCTGCATTTGAAATTTTGATACGTGTTACTTTCCCTCCATCATCAACTAGAGTAAAGGTAGATGTTCAGCTGGTTTCTTATTTTTGTATTTGAGTGTATCGTAGCTTCAAATCTTTAAAATTTTGTGTCAATATGCTCTGCTTATATACAGGCTACTGAAAGATTTGAGGCCATATATCCTACTCTTAAAGAGGTGGCTCTTGGAGGTTCTGTTGGAAGTAAAGCAATGAAACAAGTTTCACTGCAGATATTCAGTTTTGCTATCAAAGCAGCTGGGGAAAGTATGGAGACCTGATTTTATTATTTCTTTTGTGCTTCTTTTTCTTATTTGATGATATAAATGTTTGAGGGTATTCTGAAATATGCTGTATTTTTCAGACAATCCTGAGTTATCAAAAGAAGCAGCTGGTATTTTTATATGGTGTTTGAGTCAAAACAATGAATGCTACAAGCAGTGGGTGAGTATTTTTGTCCAGAAGCTTATCTTTTCGAGTTTATGCTAGTTATTATTATTATTTTTTTTGTTAGAGCAAGAAAAATTATTATAAAAATTTCTTTTCATTTTTCTATAATATATATGGCAATCTGATATATAATGGTTCTGATATTAGAGAAAGAATGAAAGTAAAGATAGGAATTTGTTGATGAGGTCTCCCTTAGCCCTGGATAAGTGATGAACCCATGTTAGGAAGAGAGAATAAATTCAAATTGTTTCTCTCAGGATTTCAAGAGCCAGTCAGCCTGAGATTTTTCCCCAAAACCAATCTCTAACGAACCCCAATACCCTTAATCATCTCTGCCTATCTCTGCTAATTTCTGATAGAATTCTACTAACAATAACTAAACTGTTAACCCCCTCGATTAACAGAAACCAGCACTTGGGGCTTATATAATACAATCATAAAACTTGTTTTACTTATTTTGTCTTATTCCTTATTGTATACAGGAAAAAGTTTATCAGGACAACATTGAAGCAAGTGTTTCTGTTCTGAAGAAGCTTTCTGATGATTGGAAGGAGCTATCAACAAAATTGTCTCCTCACGAGCCACTGAGGGATGCCATAAATAACTTTAAGCAAAAGGTAGCTTCTCGGGCAAAAGAACTATACTTTCAGTTTATTGCATCTGTGAGATTGCTTTCCAATCACACCCTGGCATGGACTATTGAATTGTGTTTTATTGTACTGAAGTAGCAGCATGTTTGAACTTGGTATATAATGGATTAACTATTTTTGGCTGCAGAATGAGAAAGTATTGGCTGCTGAGACTGATGCTGCTCATCATGCACACTTCAAGGATGCCGATAAATATTGTAAGATAATCTTAGGAAGAGTTTCGCGAAGCCATGGGCGCACTTGTTTAACCATTACAGTTCTTGCTTTGGCTGTGGGTGCTGCTGTTTTTTTGTCCCCCAATATGGAATCTCTGGATTTTAAGAAGCTTTCCGAAGTTTTCAACATTCAGCAGTGAGTACTCCGCATTATTGGCAGTTGGTTGCTTCAAACAGCAATTTTCGTTTCAGCCCATCTCGTTCACAATGGGTACAGTAAACCAATAGCCTCATAATAAAGTGCTTAATGCGAAGATTGTACACTTAGTTCAAATCCTGTCCGGATGACACAGAATAGTTGAGGTCAACAATGCTTTGAGGTTTACTTTAGTTTGACCATTTTATAATTTATTTTTGTTCTTGTTTCTGTTGAGTCTTAATTTTAGTTATCTTATGCCTTTACATTAACTATGCTGGCAAAATGCCAATGAGGTAACAACAGCTGTATTCTGAAGTTAATTTAGTTTAATCAAAGGAATTTTGGTGGTACATTGCGAAATTTTTCTATACCTTTTTCTCTGTTATCATGGGTTCGAATGCTTTCTTTCGCTTTTCCTTTAATTGTACAACATTGTTGAACTTATCTAATGGTGATGTAAAGCAATGAATGTGACTGTTTTGAGTGTGCGAAGGGGAGAAGTGGATAATTGCTTTCAGTATATTTCTAGTGGAAAAGCGTTTACATTTTAAGGCTCGCAACATTCTAGCATGTTGATGCCAAGTACAATCTTTTCTATTTAGAGACACTAATTTATAATTGTTAAACCGAGTACCAACCCAAGACTCAATCTGAAACTGAAAAAACTAGGTAAAATGGGTGGATTTGAATGGATTATCGGTTTAGACGTTTAAAAAATTGGTTTAAAATGGTTAATTTTGGTTGGATTTGTTTTTAATTCTTGAACTTATCCGTACTTCGAATTTAATTCTCTAAATAAAACAAAGATTAAAATTATTATCATTTTGGTTGAGTCTGTTTCGAGTTCTTGAACTCATCAGTGTTTAAGATCTAATTGTCCAAACAAAATAAAGATTAAAATAATTATCGTTTGAGTTTAAAAGTTAAATTTATTTTGACTCATCTTTAATCTTTATTGCTAATATATAAAAAATTCTAGTTGAGATTGTAGTTTGTAACTTTGTTTTTTATATCATGTGCCTAAAAGAATTATTATAATACTTAAATTATTTGAAACTTGAATAATTTTTTCATTTTAAGTTAAAACGAACTAAATAATATTTAAATAGTTGAATGTATAAAAAAAGATACAAGAACTAAAAAGAAAGAGATAATAAGTTGAATAAAAGTTTTATTTGAACCAAATAAATGATTCGAAGTCCAATAGATCTTTACTTAAAAAAGATCGTTTGATAAAATTGAAATTTACTCAAATCGAAATCTGTCTAAATTGACAAGTCATTTGATTGAGTTTGAGTCTATATAATGCAATCCATAGATTATATCGATTTGAATTATATTAGCTTGAAACCTACTCGACTGTTGACCACCCCTATGTTAAATCACGTACTTTGATCAAATTTACTAAAACTCACATTATATGATATTATTTTTATGACTAACCAAACTATATATATATATATATATATATATAATATAATATAATTTAGGTACAAGGGTACTAACCCATTAACAACTAACACCAAACACCTCTCTAGGCTAATGTGGTTATTTTATATTTACTTGCATATTGTCAAGTAAATGACCAATAACTAAATCTATCAAAATATAAATGTCACTTAAGTCATACATCTCTCATTCACATCTAACAACAATGAACTAACCACTGAGAGGAAGAATAATCAAAGCTCGATATCATTGCTTTGATCCAATTCCATGCAGAAAACATAACATTTTGCATGATGATATCCTTATCATATCTCTTCTTTTCTAACAAATAAATTCCTGTAATCTCAAATATTATGTATAACAGCACACCAAATAATTTGCCTAACCTCCATTTTCTTACATGATCCTAAAAATAGAGTATGCTACCAAAAGTGCTCTACAGGAAAATATGGAAGAGTAGTTGTTGTCACCTCCTACTTGTACCACTACATCCACATATCCACATGTTCATAGCATACTTGCAATTTAACCAACACATGTGAAATTTGTTTCCTCCTATAGATTACAAAATGGACAAGAAAAATCATTATTCTGAATATCAATGCTCCTTTCCCTCATATTGTTGCGTGATGGAAGCTTATCGAGAAAACATCTCCATATCACTATTGCAACCTTAGCAAGAGCCTTTAATTTTCACAAAATCGCAAACACCTCCTAAAGATGATGAATTTCACCAAGTTCATTAATCGACCTATATGTTGAATTAACAGAGTAAGAATCACTATTATCATGTGGCCAACTTCACTTGTCGCATTCCAACTTATTCAGATTTTTGTCCACCAATTGTTGTCCCAAGCTTTACACTATTTCCTCCTCCCAATTGAACCACTCTCTTCTCCACTTCAACTCCCACTTCCACTCATCAACCAACAAAAAACCCATATTAGCAATATTGCATTCCTTTTGTTTTGAATTGACAAATAATCTAGCATAAAAGTTTGTTAAACACTCTTCTATTATCCACCTATCCTCTTAGAATTTTGTTTTATCCCCCCTTCCAACACTCCATACCATATTATTATAAAATCACTTTACCTGACTATTCTCCCCGCAAACCTTCCTTAAGTTCCTCCACCATATTGATGAGTATCTAGCACAACCATATTCTTGAATCAATCCTCTCCATTCTCCATATATAGACTTCAAAACCTTACACCAAAGAACATATGAATTGTGAAACATTCCCCATCTCCATTTAGCTAACAAAGCATCATTAAATAAATTCACCTTTTTGATACCTAGTTTGCCATGATTCTTTAGTTGAGTTATCTTTTCCCATTTCACCCATGCCATCTTCTTATCCTCCTCACCTCAATCCTATAGGAAACCTCTTTGAACTCTACTTATCTTTCTTACAATCCCTCTTGGCATCTTGAAAAATGACATTGTATAGTGGTAATGAAGTTATAACTAAATCAAACATAATCTCAACAAAGCAACTTTTAGAAAAATTAATTTTAATTAAAGTTAATCACTTATACACTGCCAGTGTAAAGTTTTTTTTACATTGACAATGTATAAGTGATTAACTCTTTTAATTATGTCCAAAGATGACCTCAAAACACCTCATAATGACCTTTAAAGTCACTATATTACGCATTGACGCCTTCCCAAAGAATACCGTTTCGTGTGCATACTATAACAAGTCCACTTCAACCCTATGATCACCAATTTGGAATCCTGAATACAACATCTTCTTAGTTGCTTCCCTTACCAACCCACTTAGACCCTCAACCACATTATTAAACAAGAATAAAGCTAACACGTCTCCTTGGCGAAGTCCCTTTTGTGGCCAAAATGTCCATTAAACTCCCCCCTCATATTAATTTGAGTCGCTTGACATTACATGAAGATCAATCCTATTGCTGTAAACAAAATAAAAAGATCAAATCTATAACTAGGTTAGTGTAAAAAGTTACTGGTTTCTTTTCCAGATTCGAATCGAAATTGTTCGACAGTGAAAGTGCAAATTTGATGGTCTACATTTCATTTTTGCAACTAAATCGCATTCAATAAATTCATTTTGTAATCAAAAGCGGAAAATAAGTATAACCCTACATTTACAACAATGTAGTTTTGGAGAGCTGCGCATTTATGTAACATCTGATTTGTTGAGTTTTGGTCTCGATTTCATAGATTATCATAATCTTCAGGTTCGGCATATGGGTACTTCGAGTATGAACTTCTAATTTTTGAAGGATCCTCAGGTATAGACCAAGGGTACTGCAAGGAAGGGTCCCTTGGGAATTTCCTGAAGTTTAAAAATGGTGCCCAAAGTATAACCCTGCAAGAATTCACACGTTAGTGTGCTTTAAGAAATATTCTGCCAAGTATTGGAACAACTAATTTCAATAGAGTAACGAAACCAACTTAATTTGTTATCACTGCACAATTATAATAGTTACTTGGTCCCTACATAATATAACATGGAAAATGTTCCGAGTTGACACCTGAATGAAATGGAGTTACACTGTAATCGTGCAAAAATTTGAATATGCGAATACTCTTGACAAGCACAATAATAATACTATAATAGTACTAGCATGAGTACATATATTTTGGTTTTAGAGGAAGAGGGGCTCACCCTGGGAAGAAAATGAAGACAAACATGAATTGCAAATACATCTCCAACAAACCTCTTCTGTACCATCTTTTCCAAAGCCAGTACATGATTATTGGCTGCAATTCACTATGTTATGCTCACTCACATTTAAGAAGTCAATTTCAGATGCTCTTGTTAGATACTTCATAAGTTGTGAAATAAAGAACTTACTGGCACAATAAGGAAATAGACAAAGAGAACAATCCCCCATTGTGTCAAAACCCAGGTGAGTTCTGGCCTGTTATTCTCTCCGGTCAGTGCTAATACTGGCTGCTCGGCCTGTTCAAATAGCCACACTAATCTTTTTCTATTATATATAAAACAAAGGAGAATAATGCTAACTAAATGCTAAATTATAGTACCTATATATTAAGGAATCAAAGTTATGAAGTTATTTTTAGAAAAGTGTAACATATAATTTTACCGATACACTCTTATAATAAAAACTATCTATTCATTGATTATTTAACTAGGATCTTTAGAGTAACAAGAGTTGAATGTATTTGTACAAGAATCTGACCAAGGCCAGGAGTGCTCCTATATGCAGTGCCAAACTTGTTTGCTTTAGACTGAGATCATCATTTGGTTTGTGGCTGCTGCATGTTATCTGCAATTGGATTCAAGTTAGGTAAGTTTTTCAATGAAATGAGCTTAACTGGAGAATTGGTTGAAAGAAGAAAAGCAAAGTACACGTAGTGATCGGCAAACACTGTTGTTGTTGTGGTATGGTTTGTGTTTTGAAGCAATAAAGAGAGAAGCAGTTCCACGTGGTGAAGAAGGAAGAGGAGGCAAAGCTTTGGGAACATGGAGGCCGAATGAGAAGCTCATTTTGGCTCCTTATCCTTTTCCTGAATTCAGTTCCATGGAAACGGGTGAATGGCCTTTCTGAGGGAAAATAAATGTAGATTGAGATGACACGTGGAAACCAAACTCATCCACCACCACTTTTTTCTTGTCCATTCAAGTTTTCATGAGGGTAACACAACCTCCCTACACTTTTTATTCTTTCATGTCAATACAAATGTACTGATTTGTCTTTTTAATAAAAAAAATATAAATAAAAGATGATATCCAATAATTAATAAGTAAAAAGTGTTGACTTCATTATAGAGAATACAATTTCAAACTGAATCTTATACTATTTATTTAAATTCACAAGGTCAATAAATTTTTGTCTTTATCTTTATATACCCAGTTTCGCAATAAAAGTAAAATGTTACATTATAGTTATTATCATATCAAGTTTTAGTTCCTATATGAAAAATCTAAAACGGAATAAAAACACATGTAAACAGACCCTTGATTTAATTCCTCCTTGTTCAAACATACGAGAACATTTTATAGTTGAATGTTAGTCAAAATTCAACACGATACATTTTTCTTTTCATTAAATCTAATAGCATTAACATTTCGTCAACACAACAGTTTTTCAAACGCGCGACGCCCTTCCCATTTCTGGACATTTTCAAAGTTGAAGACTAAGAATTTTGCCTTTGAATTGAATGGAGGATATCACAAGTTTGACCTTTCCTTCATCATTTTAAATTTGAGGTGATGCTACACTTCTTGAAATGTGGAGATCATACCAATGAATCTTCTAGAACTGTAAAATTGAGTTGACCCAGTTTATCTGGTTTACCCACCATGGATTAAAAATTATAAGAAATAGAACTTATAAATTTAATATCAGTAAAAACATTTAGTTTTCTACCAGTATAGATTAATTCATTATTAAATTATTTTCCCATTATAAATACGCCTGTATTTCATGTTTCATTAGATATATTTTTTTTATAACAATTTCGTCTCTATCAAATTTTAAAAATGTATAATTTAATATATTTACATTTTTAATTTAATATAACAGTGCAGCCCAAGATGATAAGGTATACTAGTAGTACCAATGATTTGAGTAGTTTTGATTCTTTGCTGTTTACTCGCTTTCACGTGATTTTGTTTAACGTTTTCATGTGAAACTCTCGCACTTCATTGCTTTTGTGTGAATTTCATGCACTTTAATAATTTTGTTGTTTTTGCTTAAATTTCTTTTTCACTTACACTAATAAATTGGATCACAAAATATTTGTTATTAATTAGAAATTCTAAAATATTAAATTTCCCATAATCAATATGAAGTAATTGAGAAAACTTTTCTATATTGTTAGTATCAAAGTTGGGATGAGACGATGAGTAATGTTTATGAATTATGATAGTTGTTTTTGAGTTAGTTTTTGGTCTAACTCTCATCACATGGATTTCTTACATGAAGGAATGAACATATATATATATGCATGAATCATGAATGATGATGGTGTTGATTTGGCTACGGGTGGTTTCGTAGATTGGGAGGCATGATTGCTAGCTGTCAAAGTAGTTTCAGTCTGATTCTTTGTCAGCTCGTGCAGAATGAATAGTTAACTAAAAAAATGTGAAAAACCTTTAATCATGCAAGCAATTTGAAAACCGAACTGAACTAATGGATTAAACTGGAAAACTAGTGAACTGAACTAATGGCTTAAATTGGAAAACTAGTGTACTGAACTAATGGCTTAAATGAAAACTAGTGGTGGTTGTTTAAAAAATTATCTTACTTATTTTAAAGGAATACTAAAAATAAGGTTTTTTTTAATAACTTTTTATCATAGCTTTCTAATCACCCTCAGTTGATAAGTTGTTTTTAAAAAAAAAAAACATTTAAAAAATCATAATTAAAAATACAAGTTTGTACATTAATCTCTAGAATTAATTTTAAACATCTTAAAATGCTATTTTTTAATTATTTTTTATAACATTAAAAAATAAAACTACAATACATATTTTCTTTTTAATAAAAAATTATCATCTTAAATACTCAAAACTAATCTTAAGAGTTAATATTCATACCTTCTTAAATTAATTAGTCTAGAATGTAGCAATACAAAATTGAAAATGTAAATATCATGTCTCTGTCACACTACAAAAATGCAGACACATTATAATCCTTGACGGAGGATAAGCAGTTTTTTTATTTTTTAAGAAACTAAAAATTTAGATAGTACCAAATTACATCTATAGTTGGATAATCTAAATCATTAGACAGCCATTCCTTAATAACCACTTCAGTTGTGATTGGAGAGTGAGGCCAACCATAAAATTTATTTTTCCCCTTTTCATCAACCAATATTATTCACTTTCATGATATACACATTCAATGCCCTTGATTGCAAATAGTTAACATTCACTAATTACCAATTATTACAATAATAAGACACTGACCCTTACCCTTACCACATCAACAAAAAATAAATAAGGAAGTTATAAATAAATAAATAAAAGAAAAAGAGAAGAAAAAAAAACCGATGATGATACACAGCGAAGGAGGGGCCGCTAAAAGCCAAGGTTGTCGGAATTCGATTTGATTCTTCACTTGCGTCGAATATTACCTATTTCTCCGATCAAAGTTCCACACTTTCTCTCTCTTGATCGACACCCACCACGCGTTAGAGAGAGAAAACCGAGAGATCGGAAATGGGAACGCTTCAGTCTTGGAGAAGAGCTTACGGTGCCATCAAGGACACCACCAAAGTGGGTCTTGCCCATGTCAATAGCGATTATGCGGTAAATTCCCTCTTTCCAAAGATAGAATCTTTCTTTCTTTTCGCTCAATTTTGCCTATGCGGGGTGGTTTGATTGGTTCCCAATTTTAGGATTTGGACGTTGCCATAGTCAAAGCCACGAACCACGTCGAGTGCCCCCCCAAAGATAGGCACCTCAGAAGTGAGTGATTTCTGCGTTTTCGGATCCGAATTTGATCTTCTTCTTGTTGTGGAGAGATAGTGTGAAGTTTAATCTTTTTTTGGTTTTGTTGCAGAGATTCTGTTTGCCACATCTGCTGTTCGACCTAGGGCTGATGTTGCTTACTGCATTCATGCGCTTTCGCGGCGGTTGGCGAAGACGCGGAATTGGACGGTAGGATTCATGATGACAAAGTTTATGTGATCGCTTGATTGATGCACAATTTGATTTTGTTTGAGGATTCAATGATTTGTTTGTATGTGTTTTGTTGGACTTGCATTATGAATTGATGTTGCTAGGTTTGTGGCATTTCTCTGTTCTTCTATACTATAAGGAGGGAAAGAGAAAATAGAGATGAATGGTCTGAAATTGATAATTGACTTGTTGATGTCAGATGATCTGATGCAAATTTCGAAGTAGTTCTTCACTGTCAAATTTTTATTTGGATTCAGGAATGTGAAACTAATACCTATCTGGATACCCCACAAATGGGCTGGTGTTAGGTTTTGTGCTATTTCAGAATTTTGATAATAATTTGTGGCATGTGGCCTTGATGACATTATTGGTGAAATGAATCTTTTATGAAGGATAGAATTCAAATCCGTTTTGATGGAGGATGTGATAGTGAATCCAGTTATTATTTGATAATTCCAGATCTTATTACTACTAAAAGCTGCATTTCCTTACATTTTGTTTAATTTGTTATACACTGGTTTAGATAGTTATTTCATTTAAGTTTATTGTATGCCAAGAAATTGTAATTCATTAATTCCAAACATGTTATGAGGTTTCCATTTTTCAAAAGTTATTACAAGATCAATTAGTGTTTTGATGCTCAGCCATCCTATTTATTCTTGTGCCCTCAATGGACCCTAGGTAGAATTCCTCAGGTGGTGTTCGGCTTGTTTTTTATTTTCATTTTCAGTTCATATGTTTTCACTAATAGTTAAAAAAAATGCCACCTTATTTTCAATTTTTTTTTCCTATTATTAAACTTTTGTGAAGAAAATGCTGAAAACATTTTTTTGCCCCCTTAGTTGTTAATTTCTAGATCCATCCTTGTGTAGGAAGGAATAGGATTACATGAAACAAAATCACTGTTCTCTTTTCTTTTTCTTTTTTTCTTCAATATTTTTGTAAAAATCATGGTTCAAAACATGGGAATTTCTCATTCATGGAATGGAAGTCTTACATACTAAGCACGGTGTTAGTTATTGCTCAAGATGTTTTGATTATCGATATCTCTACCAAGTATCTTATATTACTCATTATTCCTTAGGTCAGGATATCTAAGGATTATATATAAAGAATTTATGCCTGGTCCTCTGCAATCTCAATTTTATGAGTCTCAATTTTTTTTCTTTTTTCTGTGATTTAGCATCAATTGCTAATTCAATTCTTCTTGTCTAGCTCGTAATTGTATAATGCGTAGCTGTAGATATGCTTGTGTTTCACTTCCCTTTGTTTTGTTCACAGGTGGCATTGAAAACACTTATAGTCATTCATAGGTTATTGAGGGAGGGTGATCCTACTTTTAGAGAAGAACTTCTGAATTTCTCACAGAGAGGACGAATTCTCCAACTTTCAAATTTTAAGGACGATTCTAGCCCAATTGGTTAATTTTTTGACCTTTTCATCTTTATATTTTGTTGTTGACTTCCACATAGGTTTAAGTTTAAGGTTTTTAACTGTATTATATTTTTTTTCCCTGTATGATTTCATTTTCTTCCAGCTTGGGATTGCTCTGCCTGGGTACGTACATATGCATTATTTTTGGAAGAAAGACTTGAATGTTTTCGGATTCTGAAGTATGATATTGAAGCTGAGCGTCTACCCAAACCTGCCCAAGGGCAGGAGAAGGTAATTTCAATAAAAAGTTATTTTACTTTGTTCGGTCTCTTGGGATAACTGGTCAAGTTTTGAGTATGTACGTGTAGCATTTGATGATGTCATTGAGAAGTGTTTCTTTGAAAATGAATACTAAGACCTAAGCTGAATACTATTGTCTCTGACTGTCACCCTTCCCTGGGAAGAGCTCATTCAATTAGGAGTGAAAAGCTTGGTATTTTTGAATATGTGAATTCTGGTGTTGAAAGCCATCAGTTGTATTTCTTCAAGTGCTTTCTGAAATAGGATTTCCCTTCCTTCTGACAAGAATTTTC